GAGGCGGGGATTGGCCGGCCGAAAGTTCAGTCAGACAGCGAAATCTTTTGAAAATTGGAGGGAAACTGGAGGCTCGGTGCAAGGCTGGACGAGGTTCGGATTCACTGTACTGTAGCAGTGTGGTTCAGATCGCCTTCCTGAGATGGGGCCCCATTCGGCCCCACCCGACGTGGCCCCAAGCAACAGTGCACGAAACACGTGCCTGTGGCATGGCAGCAAAGTGGGGGTGAATGTGGACGTCGCATGAGTTGGCAGCCGAGGGTCGTGTGAAATTGCACGTCAACTTCTGAAGTCTCCGGACGTCAGAACGACAGTCTCGCTAGACTGTCACGGGTTCCCAGTGGTGGCTAGAACCCGAAAACTTTTGCCGTTCCCTCCCAGGCCGTTTTCGACCGTCTCGTGGGTGCATGCGGCCGTTGGGTAATGTCGCATGAACGTTTGCTGCTGACGCAGGTGAGTGGTTGCACCGATTCTTTGTTTGTTCTTCGCCCAATGCGACTCCCGTCGCATGGCACGTGTGGTGGGTGTGACCCATATCAATTCTGCCACGCTGGACCAATGGTGCTGCTCCCCCATTCGGCCCCATCTCAGGAAGGCGACCTTAGGGACCATCAATGCACGAGATTCAGTGTATATGCGGATGAACCTCACTAAATTTGCACCTTCCATAGGACTGCATCAACCACGGAAATTTAGCGAGACATAAATGGGTGGAATTGTTTCCATTCATTACTTCTGCATCACCTAAGCTGACGATGACGATGTCGCATTCTTATCCCTTGTCCCGTTTTCAGTGAGATTCGCATTGTTTGCAGCCTCCTGAGTTGGAGGCTGCAATCTCTTAGCGAGGTTGGGGTGTATTTGAGAAATCTCCGATGGCTGCGTCTCTGGGCAGATGTACATTTCACAGTGGTCGTCTCGCCACCATTCCCGCCCCGCAACCTGTCCAAGAAAAAGGCGAAGGCATAAGCATGCATTGCAATATAACAACAAAATGCGTATCGCATTGAACTGGAACATTGCACTTGATATGCGTTGACCAACAAGAACGCACATCACATCATGTCTTAACATCAGGGGTACAGATTGCAATGCTTCTTACCGCATGATATCATGTGAATACGTGGAGCCTGATGTGCCATAGAACTTGAGCGCGAGAGCACAGATGGTCTTATCCAGAAAAGACACCACCTCCCTGTTGCTCTCCAAGCCCAGGCTGAGAAGAGGCTCGGCCCAAGCCTGGCCCTTGAGGCTTGGTGGCAATGACACGAATGAATGTGGGGAGCCCTGGGGGCAGCAGGAGCGGTAGAAAGGGAGGGTTCAGATACGGTGAGCGCATGCAGAGGCACGATAGGATCAAGTAAAAGCCTAACTCAGTAATACGTTGGCCATGCTCCCTGCTCTCTACCACTCACGAACATTGCGAGTGTCTCTGGCAACACCTGCATCTGCTCCTTCGAGCTTTGCTCACCACAATCTCCATGGCTGCGCCTGCGGGCACGAGGAAGGAGAGACGTCCCTGCTCGCTCTCCCCCTCCCTCTTGTCCCCACCCACTCCTACCCCCATATCTCTACCCCAACCCACTCACGAGTGTGGCCAGTGTCTCTGCCCTGCATTGCATACCACAAACACCTTGGCGGCGCCGGGCAGCACCTGCAGGGGGAGAGACGCCCTTGCTCACTCCCGCCTCCCCTCTTGATCCCCTACCAGATCCACCCTCCCCCCCACTCACGAGCGTGGCCAGTGTCTCTGACAGTGCACGCATCTCCTCATCCCCGGCGTTGCTCGCCACAAAGACCATGGCGGCGCCGGGCAGCGCCTGCAGGCGCGCGTGCAGGCAGCGCGCGAGCTGGTGGATGGGGTGGAAGCACGGCACCGCCCTGCGTCTGCCGTCCCCGTGAATGCAGTGGTGGAAGAAATCGCCCCTGGGGGAGGGGAGGGGAGGGCGAGGGTGAGTGAGACCCAAACACGCACCCACCCGCCCGCCCGCACGCCTGCCCACACTCACTCACTCACTCACTCACTCACTCATACTACACACTCGTGCACTCACACACGCACACACACACAGTAAGAACACAGTGAGGGTGCGGCGGAGTACCTGCGCAGGTGAATGGCAATGAAGCGCGAACCCAGGAACGTGTTGATGAACCCCACCGCCGCCTCCTGAATCGCACGGCTCGGTTGCAACAGCCCGCGGCACTCCGGGCGCACGACCAGCGGCGCTCTCCCATGAAACCTCAGCTCCCTGCCGCCCACGCCAAACATGTTGGCAAACGCAATCACATGGTGATCCCCGTGGAACTTTCTGAGAAACTCCGCGGTGGGGTACTTGAACCAGGGGCTGGGTGTTCTCTTGCGGGCAATCTCATGCTTGGCAAAGGTGACGTGCAGGCGGGATTCATAGGAGAGGCGGAGAGAGTCGCAGGCCTGGTCGGTCTGGTACACGTGCACGTGGCAGATGTAGCGTCCTACTCGCACTCGCCCACGCACTGACGCGTTGTAGGCTGAGAAGGTGATGACTCGCCCTGGACCCATGCACTCGTCGAACGCCCCCAGGTCTGATGGTGGGGCACAGGGGACGACAGGAAGATGCATGGGCATTTTGGTGATTTTCATGAGGTGGAAGATGTTGGCAGCCGCCACACAAGCAGTCATGGATTGATGCGTTGTAGGCTGATGAGCTGTGTGCGGATGACCCAAGTCCAACTCTCCTCAAAACGAATGACAAGTTCCCACCCACGCACACCTAGCAGTGCCTCGTAGTCGTAGTCAATGCCCTGCGTAGGGATGACGAGCGTGCGGTTCATGAGTGCCGCGTCCAGCATGCTCTGCCGCACACACGCCAGGCGGTTGCTCAGCTGCCCCCCCGAACACAGCGCTATAAGGTACCTGGGGGGATTTGTCGGGGGATGGGGGGGAGAGGAAACAGAGGGGGAGAAATGGGAGAGGAGAAGAGAGGAGTGGGACAGGGGGAAGAGAGGGGGACGAGAAGGAGAAGCGAGGAGGAGGCGGGTAGGCGTCAGTCAAGAGCCAGAAAGGGCAGGATAGAGGGGGGCAAGCGGGAAGGAGGAACGAGGAGCGGTGCGTCGTGAGTGAGCCAACTCACTCACCCCATTGGCCAGTCGCCATACCTCTGGGGCTTCGGGTTCCAGTGGATTGTGCCGACACGTGGCATGGTGTCATTGGCGCAGGCCGGTTCCGCTGAAGGGTAGAACGAGGGATGGGTGAACAAAGAAAGGGAATTTTCAGGTGAGGCATGACAATGTGTTACAGACGGCCTGGGTGAACATAAACTCAGCGACACACACCGAAGGAAGGAGATAAACGCGGTAACACGCACCGATTTCGCTCACAATGGTGCCGTTTCGCGCAGCCACTAGCTGCTGTAGCCTCTGAATCCCCTCCTCCTGCTCCTCCAGGGATTGCAGAATAGCGTCCTGCTGCTGCTTCAGCAGCACCAGCGACGCGTTACAAGGCTCTCCGTTAACAGAACCAGGGTCGCCGCTCCTCGCGGCAGACAGACCCAAACTGCCCGAAGAGGAGGAGAAGATGGATAAGAACGCGAGAGCATTCCCTCTGACACATCCTGGGTCGTCAGGCGACAAGCACGGTCCCTGCTGCTGGTAGTGTTGCTGCCACGCTGGCACGATGATTGACGTGGAGATCCATCCGAGCTGGAAGCCGATGATAAGGAAGAGCACGGCGGTGGGGGAGGGAAGGCCGCTCAGGCTGATGAGTGAAGGCATGGCTCAAGGGAGTGTAACGTTGCGACGAGAAGCTCGGTTGAATGCGGAATAACACGGTTGATTGCACTTCATGAGTCAAAAGGTATCATGTATGATCTCGAGCGAAGCGTCGTCTTCGCGTGCTGCTGCCCGCTTTTGAGCGGAAGCCGACACGGTGATCCTACTCCTCGACGCTGCTGACTAACAGAGCCTAATGTCAGGCGACCCAGTCAATTCGGCTAGTTAAAATTTTGGTTCCGCGATCTCGCATAGGGTGGCAGAGATGGAGAGGAGCCATGGCAGAGAGGGAGTCGGAAGCAGGAAATAAAACTTTTGGCGGAATGGCGCTACTAGCTTGAGACGGGTAGCCAAGCTTGAGATAATCCGAGTGCTTTGCAGAGTGGTTTGATATTTGCGCCTGATTTTCGCGAACGAGCTGCGAACATCAGAGCAAGCGAAACCGTCAGCTACACATTACATGGAGGTAGCATGATCTGCATATTGTAACTAAATTCGGTCTCACTTTGGTGTACAATTTTAATTATCAAGCTTCCACTGCAACATCACCGAGTCAAGTTATCGCTGCGCTCCTGCGTCATGGATCCGGTGGCTCGGTCCCTGATCTGTTCCCAAGGCAACCTTGGGAGTTTCAACTTGCATTGCATTTGCAATGCCACCATTCCCTGGTTTCCCTTTCGTTCATGTGACGAGACCATCGAGCTTCTTCCTGATCTGTGCTGTTTTCGCGTTTCCGACTTCCTGCTTCAAGCTGCTGCTCCCTGCTCTTCTCCACATTAGCACTGGCAGCGTGCAGCATAGTTGCCACGATTCAGAAAGCTTGGTTTCATGACTTGACTAGTAGTTGGCGTTATTATGTTAGCTCCGCTCAATTGCGGCACTCTCTAGGTTAGCTGGATCGTTTAGCCATCAAGAAGCTGGCTCAGCATCTAAGGAATACAACTCCGCTCCTCACCCGGCTGCTTTACCGTCTTTTGTTTCCGACTCATTATTAACAATGACATCAGCGGCGTAGCGACGTGATCGTTGTAATTCGCCAGTGATTGTTTGGACTGTACCTGTCGATTTTTAAACAAGCGCCTCGCCAAAGTGGATACGCGCGGGACAGCCACAGCCCCGGACCGCTGTTGTGCTGACTAGACAAGGAACGGCATTCCACCAATAATAAATAAAGCCACCATAAAGCCTGTCCACTCCTAAACACGCGAGCTGATCAGGGCTAGCTACGACGAGCCATGGGGTTCTATCCCAGCATGTTCATCGGCTTCGTCACGGGAATCGTCGTTTTAGCGGGGATCAAATACCTTCAGAGGAGGCGACATGCGCAGCGCGTTCGCAAGGTTCACTTTTCCTCCAACCGCCTTCCGTTCACTGCTGTTTCCTCACAATTTTACGCGCCTAGTCCACCCTTCCCGCGTTGCTCGTGCTAATCGCTCTGTCGAACCCGTACGCGTTACTGAGCAGATGGTGGATCTCGCGATGATGTCGTGCGTCAACAAGGAGGACCTGAGAAAGCTCATACCCAAAGAGCTATACCCCACCTGGGTGCAGTTTCCGGAGTTCGAGCGGGTATGACGTAGGAGGGAATTGTCATGTTTCATGTCGTCCGAGGCTTACATGTTCAGGTCTCAAGCACTAACCCGCTGTTCTCATTAGCTCTGTCGACAAGGAAAAGCCGTACTTTATAAAGCTTTTGAGCGATTTTCTCCCTTCCCTACGTGCAGGTCGAGTGGATTAACTACTTCCTCCGTGAACTGTGGCCCAAGCTCAGAGAGGTGAGTCTCGTCTCCTGAGTGGCTCTTTGGCTCAATGATCGTTCCTCACTAATTCGCTCGCTGAAAACCCTCTTCTTTCTATTCCGCTGCATGTATACCAGCCACCCCTCTCAATGCCGGTTCAACCTACTCTTACAACTCTCACTTCCAGCGAATGAATCCTCCTCTTCCTCCCAGGTAACTCCTCTCCCTCCCAGGTAACTCCTCTCCTCCCCCTTCCATCACGAACCCTATAGTCTGCCATTCACCCGTGTGCCTGCCTCCTGCACTGTGCGTGCGGCCCTGCAGGCGATATCAGGCGCGGTGATGATGCAGATAGGGCCCGTGCTGGAGAGCTACCGTCCGCCCATGATCTCCTCGCTCAAGCTCACCAAGTTCAACCTCGGCCGCCTGGCCCCGCAGCTCGGAGGTGCGTGTAGTGCAGTGCAGCAGCCCGTGTGTGTGGTGGGTTGTTGGGAGTTGCCTGTGTCCTTCCATGGCAACAGCGCTTATGCTTGCGTGCGTACCTCTCCGCCCTGTGCTGCAGGCATAGACGTGGTGGAGACGAGGGCGGACGAGGTGGTGCTGCATGTGCATGGAGTGTGCACTTTGCACTTTGCATTTTCTTCTCTTGACTTGCACACTCCATCCATACCCTCCCCTTCCCGTGCTGCAGGTATAGACGTGGTGGAGAAGACGAGGGCGGACGAGGTGGTGCTGCACGCGTGCGCACGTTTGAGAACATTCCATTTTCTACCATGCTTCATCCATTCCCTCCCCTCCCCGTGCTGCACTGCACTGCAGGCATAGACGTGGTGGAGACGAGGGCGGACGAGGTGGTGCTGCATGTGGACTTCAACTGGGTGGGCGATCCCTCCATCATCCTCTCCATCAAGACGCTCGTCGGCGTCGCGCTGCAAGTGCAGGTGGGTGGGTGGGCGGGGTGGCCATGGCAGGATAGCGGGCGGAACAGTGAGTCATACTCATACATGCGGGTTGAGGGACAACAACAGGCCAGGTGCTTGCTGTCCCCCTTTCATGCATGCACCGCAGCAAGGGACTCCCTTCCATTAGCACGCTCCTTGGGGTGGCGCTGCAAGTGCGGTGCAGGTGAGGGGGAATGAGTAGGCAGATTTCTGGGTGAACCACGTGCAGGTGAACGGGCAGGTGAAGGCAGGTATGTGTGCAAGAGCAGGAGAGCTCCTCACAGCACCGCTAAACCGCCCCTTCTCACAGCCCTGGCGAATTGGCACACTCGTGAGCCTCTCTTGCATGTGCACACTCCCATGCACTAAATAGCCGTGAACCTGGGGCTTCATGCACGTGGCCCCGCCAAGGTGGAAAATTGCGGTCAGGGAAATTTACGCTTGGAAATTTACGGTGGAAATTTTCGGGCAAATTCTGAAAATTTCGGCGAAATTTTGTTAGACCTTCAAAAAAAAGTCCAAAATCTTCTGGCAGCAAAATGCCAGAGATATGCAGAGATCTGGTTCCCTAAATGGCATATCCACTTAGATCTAGTGGCAAAATGTCAGATCCGCCTAGACTTAGTGGCAAAATGGCAGATCCACCCAGATCTGGCAGCGAAATGTCAGATATATGCAGAGATCTGGTGCTTAAATGGCAGATCTGCTTAAAATTGGCAGCAATATGCCAGTAAAATTTCCATCCATCGTTTTTTCCCATTTATTCGCATTTTTTTTTTTACTATTTTTTGTAAAATTTCGGACGAATTTTTGCACCAGACTCATAATTTTTTTCCAGACCGAAATTATCGTAAATTTCGGGGGAAATTTTCAATGGCGAATTTTTCGCTCAAATTTTGAAAAATTCGGCGAAATTTTGCACCCTGGGCCCCGCCCTGAGTGGCTCTCAACCCTCTCATCACCAACGGTCTGCCTGTGCTTCCCTTTCCTGTTTTGAGACAATACACATCTTTCCCTCTCCTGTTTTGAGGCAATACACATCTTTCCCTCTCCTGTTTTGAGGCAATACACATCTTTCCCTCTCCTGTTTTGAGGCAATACACATCTTTCCCTCTCCTCGCCGTCCCTATCTCCGCACCCCCTTGCTCGCCAGGTGAAGAACCTTCAAATATGGGGAGTGTTTCGCGTGGCCCTCACGCCCCTCATCCCCAGCATCCCCTGCTTTGGCGCCGTCGTCTTTGCCTTCACCAAGAAGGTATACTGTGACCGTGCCCCCTCTCTTCTCTGCTGCTACCTGCTTCTGTTATAGATGCGCCTCAAGTTCAGGTGGCGGGCGGTGCCATGACTGCCGTGCCATGCCTGGCTGGCCTGGGAGACTTTTGAGTCAACGCTGAATATACCTAGCTCCACCTCCTTCTCCCTTCCCATCCTCTCATCCCACCCGTGGCACAGCCCGAGATCAAGTTCAAGTTGAAGGTGGCGGGGGGTGACATCGCATCCGTGCCTGGCTTGGGCGATGCCATTGATGTGAGTCCGCGTGCTGATGTGAGTCCGTCCGTGTGGTGATGTGAGTCCGTCCGTGTGGTGATGTGAGTCCGTCCGTGTGGTGATGTGAGTCCGTGTGGTGATGTGAGTCCGCGTGCTGATGTGAGTCCGCGTGGTGATGTAATGGTATGAAATGATATGTCTGAAGGGGACGATGCTGTGATGGCATGAGGATGTGAGCTGGCATGGTGATGAGATGGCATGATGACGTGATGTAAATGGGGCTTCATGATGGTGTGACTTGGTTCGGTGTGTGGTGGCATATGGCATGGCATGATATCCCGAGGAGTGAAAAAGGTTGTCTGTTGCATTGCGTCCCTTGCCGTTTCACAGTTGCAAATGGTTGCCTGCTTTTGAAGAGATTGCAGCTGGCGCTAGGCTCTGCCAGTCATGGCTCTCCATGACAAGACAAATGATCGAGCCATGTTATGCCACCATCACCTATCTCTGTTTTATGGTTCTTACTCTCTCCGTTATGCCCCCGTGCTCTCCCTGCTCTCCCTGCTCTCCCTGCTCTCCCTGCACACCCTGTGTGCGCTATGGTGCAGGATCTGATTCGAACAGCCATCATGGATTCACTGGTCTGGCCGGTGCGCCATGTCATCCCCATCGTGCCCGGCAACTATGAGTGAGTTGCTGCCTGTACGCATGTGGCAGCTCCAGATCCAGTTGCCTCTGTAAATTCCTCTCTTCTTCTTTAACCATCGAGCTCGCACGTTGCCTTTTCCTAAACGACATTCCAATGCATCTTAAAGCCCACTCTTACTCCCCAACACCCGCACTCCTCCCGCTTCTCCCCCCCCTTTCCCCCCGCAGGTACCTACACATGTGCATGGTGGGGGTGGTGGAGGTGATGCTGGTGAAGGCATTCCAATGCATTGTGAAACTCACTCGCCTCCCCCCCCCCCCCATCCTCCCCCCCCCTCCCCTCTCCCCACAGGTACCTACAGATGCGCACAGTGGGCGTGTTGGAGGTGAAGCTGGTGGAGGGCAGGGACCTGGTGAACCTGTCCCTGCTCGGCACCATCGACCCCTACGCCACGCTCTTCGTGCGCCCCATGCCCTCCCGCACCCGCCGCAGCCGCACCATTGTGAGTCTGGTCCCCCACCGATGGGTCAATGTGAGCTCTCCAGGAAGCGCTGTGAATCCTCCATGAACCTCCATGGTGCCATCGTGATTCTTCATCTTTGAGGCGCCTCAAAAGGAAGCGCTGTGAATCCTCCATGAACCTCCATGGTGCCATCGTGATTCTTCATCTTTGAGGCGCCTCAAAAGGAAGCGCTGTGAATCCTCCATGAACCTCCATGGTGCCATCGTGACTCTTCATCTTTGAGGCGCCTCAAAAGGAAGCGCTGTGAATCCTCCATGAACCTCCATGGTGCCATCGTGACTCTTCATCTTTGAGGCGCCTCAAAAGGAAGCGCTGTGAATCCTCCATGAACCTCCATGGTGCCATCGTGACTCTTCATCTTTGAGGCGCCTCAAAAGGAAGCGCTGTGAATCCTCCATGAACCTCCATGAACCTCCATGAACCTCCACGAACCTCCATGAACCTCCATGGTGCCATCGTGACTCTTCATCTTGACCAACCATCCTGAGTCGGTAGTCGGTACCTCAATGGGCCCTTTCAGTCGACTCAAAGGCCACGCGCCCGTTCCCAAGTTTCCACGCACTCGCTGCAGCGGAGGCAACAGATAGAGGGGGGTGCAGAGACTCATTGATCTCCACTCTTGTGTTGCTTTGCCTTCCTTCCTTGCACTGGCAGGCCAACTCCGTGAACCCGCTGTGGAACCACTCGTTTGACTTCAAGGTGGAGGACCCGGAGACACAGAGACTCGTCATCAAGGTGAGCGTACAGTCTGTTTAAGGTGTACAAGCTGTAAGGGCTGTACAAGGCATAGCTTCAACGGAGAGCTGGGCTGGGATGGATTTGAGGGGAGAGGTGGCATGGACAATATACCCCTGCACTTTCCTATCTGCTGCTTGTTCTACCACTTTCCTTTTTACCCCCCCTCCCTCTCTTCCCACGCGTCACGTGCAGGTGTGGGACGACCAGGAGCTGACAGGCGGTCATTGTACTGGCGAACCTGCCAGCACGGCAATAAGGGTATGGCTCACAGCTTTTCCCTCCTTTTCCCTTCACCCCCGACACACGCGTCACGTGCAGGTGTGGGACGACCAGGAGCTGACAGCGTCTGTGCCCGTTGGGCAGGCGGCCATTGTACTGGCGGAGCTTCCGCCACTGAAGCTGGTGGACCAGTGGGTGCCCGTGGTCAAGGACGTGGACGACCCCAAGGCTGACACCCGCCCCCGCGGCTCGGTGAGTGTGGTGCTGTGGTGCTCACTTGGCATGGCAGATGGTGTGGCATGACATAGCACATAACTTGTCATGAGATAGCATGCGTAGAGATCCTATGCATGCCACAATATGACACTCATTCTCCTCCACTCACCCGGCCCCCCAACGTTTAACTAAATCTGAAGCTGCTACATTGCCCTCTGAGTCAATTCGAAACACTCCTCCACTCTCCCTGCTCCGTGCTCTCAGCTGCATCTGGAGCTGCTATACCGCCCTGTGGACGAGAATGGGGTGCTGCTCGCCCCGACCTACTTCACCCCGCCAGCGCCCAAGACACTCCAAGAGGCAGCAGCAGCAGCCAACGCTGCAGAGGCACGGAAAATGCGGCAGGCGGGCGTGGGATTCCTGAGCCCAATCAAGGCGCAGCAGCAGGAGGAGGGCGAGGGGGTGGATGATGTGCCGGCGATGGCTCTGGGTGGGGATCAGGGGGGGTTGGGAGTGGAGGACGGGGACAAGAAGTACTTGAGAGGCGTGCTGCAGGTGGTGCTGCTGTCGGGGCGTGAGCTCATGGCGTGTGATATGAATGGGCTCAGTGACCCGTTTGCTGTGCTTGAGGTACGCACGAGTTAAGTCTCCCATCCAGTGGGCGTCGCCTGGCAACATGTGATGAGGAATGCTCTCACATCACACCACTCACCACCGTCTCGTATGATCCGTGCTCTCACACTCCGCTCTCACACTCCCGCCTGCAGCTGAAGCTGGGACGGCAGAGGCGGAAGTTGCAGGTGGTGGAGAATTCGTGCTTCCCGCTTCCTTCTCACATGATTTCCACTCTCGTTTCTACCTCTCTCAACCGCTCTGCACGCCTGCAGCTGCAGCTGGGGGGGCAGAGGAGGAAGTCACGGGTGGTGAAGAAGACGTTGGAGCCGGAGTGGAATGAGAACTTTGAGTTCCTCGTGGAGGACGGCAAGCATGACATGCTCGTGGTGGGGCTCTTCGACCATGACCTGCTCGGCAAGAAGGTAGGCTTGCCTTGTAACGTGTTGTCAGCTCGCGCATTCAAGAAGGTCTTGCTGTTGAAGAGCATCAAAGGGTGTGCTCTGAGGCGCCTTGCGCCCAAATTTGAGCTCCTGGTAGAAGACAGCAAGCATGACATGCTCGTTGTGGCTCTCTTCAACAACGACCTGCTCGGCAAGAAGGTGAGAGTCGGCCAGACTGGGTATGAAGGGTGCTGAGTGATGAGTGAAAGTGGTGTGACAATGGAGTGTGATAAGGAGTGGGTAAGAGGTGTGGTTATCTGTTTCCACCAAGATGGAGGACGTCAAACATGACATGCTCGTGGTGGGGCTGTACGATCATGGCAAATGCCTGTTCGTTGCCTCCATATGAGAATGCAGTACTTATGCATTTGGTATGGCTGGTAAAGAAAAGGCAGTGCCTGGATTGCTGAGCTGGGGTCTGGACTGTGAGTTGCTGCTTCCTGGTGATGTTTTTTCTGTAATGGTTTGCTGGCTGGAACAGACCTGTTTCTTGTTGCTGACAAGATTCCATGTTTCACCACTTCCATGGCCCATGTTTGCAGGATAACATGGGTCGGTTGGGAGTGAGTCTGACAAGAGTAATGATGGAGGGGCATATTGAGAACGAGTTCCAACTAATGGATGTGCCTCACGGATGGTTAAAGCTGAAGCTAACATGGAAGCCTGTACCATAGAATTGTAGGCTTCTCAAGTCAAGAAGTTTACTGTTATAATTTGCTTTGGGTAATTTGCGTTCTAGAATGAGTTATGAAGCGTTTTGCCTAGGAATTGCAATTACCGTAGCCGATTTAGGTGGCTCTAACTACAGTTCATTGCACTTGGAATCAATCTTCCCAAAATCCTCGGTTATGGATTCTGTCGCGAATGCCAGTCAAATGCACGGCGTCGCAGCATTTCCAGCCCTTGACCTGTCCACATTCGACCGCCCTCGCAAGTCACCTGATCTTTAGCGAGAGTTCGTACGACGATGCTGCGATGTTACACGCTTGCAAGAAAAGTCTTGGCGATAGGGCGGAAAGGATTTGGCGACCACTGGAATCCAGCCAATTCAAAAGGCATCTTGTCGGATTTGCTGCGTTGGCGCGCTTTGGTGGCCTGGTAGTACAGTTTCTTCTCACGAGTCGCTTCCAGAAATCTCTTCCGACGAATTCGAGAGTCGCAGACTCGTCATATGCGACTACCAGCCCCTGCGATTCTCAGATCGTCATCGCATTCCCTGCTTTCTTCACCGTCTCAACCATCCATCGCCGCAACGCGACCAAGAAAATTGGTTCGCAGGCGTCGCCGCCAGATCTTCTTTGTTCTGGCGCTGTCTCTAGAAAAAGTGCCTCTACTTGAGAACTGAATCATCCGAGTCAGGACGCCGAAGGAGATAGTAATAGCAGCAACTTGTGTCTTCGCTGCAACCCAGTCTAGTGCTTGGGTAAGATCTGTGTGATCGGCCCATGTTTCACGGCTTTGATCCAGCACCGCAATTTAATAGCCGAACCGCGACTTCAGATAACGAGCAGTGGAGACAGTGGTGGGCAGATTGAGTTCCTTCAACTGCGTGCTCACATGGCGTATCAAGGTCCTCCTGTTACAGCACCGCCCAATCAAGGTGTGACGCGTGGTGGGGTTGCTGTAGGGATGACATTCATGCTTCGATGCGGTTATTGCTATCCTAGAAGACATCGTTTAGTCAATGAAATGAAAATTCTCGTGTTGTTCCGTTCCGCGAAATTACACCACTGAACGTTACTAAGCCCGTCGCGCACACGTGCAGGTTACCACTTCTGTCGTGACGGCCCTTCGTCTCCGCCTGACTGCGCGTCGCCCACTGAAGCCTTCACGAACCCCCTCAGCTTCAGCCGCAGCAGCAGTAGCGGCAGCGGCGCGGGGCACTACCACTACTACCAGTGCGACTCGCCCCCGCCGTGCAGCGGCGTGATCGTGACAAACAAAGACGCGAGCGTGTACGACAACTGCTGCGTCGCGCTGTAAGCTGATAAGCTGATAATGTCGTGAATGAATATAACTGAGTCTTTTTCTTCCGTTCTTTCAAGGCGCGTCTTAATCCACTCGTGGGAGCACTATTTGTCAATCTTGAAGATCGTTCATGGCTGACGCGCTCTCCGTGTTCCGTGTTGCTGCAGGGTATCGGTGCTCTGCTGCTGCTGGGTAATAGACGGCTTCGTCTGACCGTCATCCGTCTCAACTCCCGTCTCCTGATCGCCTTCGTGTGATCTGATCTCGCATCTTCGAGTCGCACAACGGAAACAGTTCTGGTCCGCGACCGCGACTTGCGGTGGATTCCGAGTAAAAGCAGCCGTTGTTGCTCTCTCCGTTTTGTTTTTGCTGGTCGCTAAGTGGCAATTCCATGCTCAGAATGCTTCGAACTATTTTTGTGGATCTGTCTTTGTATGGGTTGTTCTATAAATGAGTCTCAATCACTCTTTTCAAGGAACAAGAGCCACAACTCAAATGGCGCAACTCAACGCCAAAATTGTCCTAGAATCCCCTTTTCGCAACTAGGTCCCCGTACTATCAAGATACAGACACAACTATCGACCCTTCCCTGCCACATGCCCTCAGCGCCGCATCCCCCTGCTCGCTCCAGGTGTCCTCCAAGAAACCTCCTGCTCGTGCCGTCCCGTGCACACTGCCAGCGGCAATGCCACTGCCCCGCAGCAGCAGCGCCTCCTCCCCCGTCACGCCCCTCTGCTCGTCGCTGGCCCACTGGTGCACTCATGCACCCCCCCCCATTGCACGCAGCCTCGCACCTCCCTAGCCCAGCCGCGCCTCCTCCCCCGCCACCACCTGCTGCAGCATCTCATCCCGCTGCTCGTCGCTGGCGAAGTGGAACCGCCGCCCGTGGCCTGGGGGACGCGCACAGGGAGGAGAGGGAGGGGGCGGTGGGAATGGGCGATTGGGACTCCGTGCGGTTGAGTGCGAGCAGGAAATGGGGCGAGGAGGGACCAGAGGTGACACGGGCAGGGAGGCGAATGGGTGGGCGGTGGGGTGAGGGGAATTGAGATTGGAGCCACAGCAGGAGCACGGCATGGGGGCAGGAATTGACAGTCTTTCCGCTGCCCCACCACGGCAGGCTCTGCTGCACAAACTGATGCTAATTCCTGACACATCCACCACACCTGGCAGCACCGCGCCTCACCTGGCAGCACCCAGCGGAAGGGCAGTCCCACCAGCTTCTTGGCGCTCTGAATTTGGACTGGCACTGCAAGGGTGGTGGCGCAGGTGGCAGGGGCGAGGGGACAGGGGGCAGGGGACAGGGGGCAGGGGACAGGGGGCAGAGGGCAGGGGGCAGAGGGCAGGGGGCAGAGGGCAGGGGACAGGGGACAGGGGGCAGGGGGCAGGGGAAGGGGGTGAGGAAAAGGGGATATGGCATTCGCGGGACTGGATACTGGGTATAAGGGACAAGGGATGAGGGAAGACGGACAAGAGGCAACAAAGAACAAGGCACACAACGTGTAGCGGACAGGGAAGCGGAGTGACAGTACTTTCTCCCCTCCAAAACGCTTTCTAAGGAGCCCTTTTTGCTACCACGGCGATAAGACGGCTGTGTACTTCGTTCGACTTGGGTTGACTCACCCGAGTACCAGTTGACCCGTTTAAATATAGTAAGGCTTTCCGTATTTGGAGCGTACGCCAGGTGGTCCCCTGAGAAGAGCGCTCCTTGGTGCGCCTTATACAGCAGACTCACGGAGCCCTGTGAAAGGAGTTAGGGTGGGGAGTAGGGAAGAAGAAGGGAGCGGTGGCTTCAGCGAGCAGTCCTCCTCCCCTCTTCTCCCGAGAAGGGCTTCACGAGCAGCGCTCCTTCGTGCGCCTTATGCAGCACACTCACGGAGCTCTGCTCACACGCGCAGAGAGTGAAAACAGAGTGGTGCGGATGGTGGTTTCGGGAGTGAATGAGCCCGTGCGGTTCGTCTGACCCCAGGCACGAGGGCTGTGCCGCACCTACGGCTGCTACTGGGATCCCATTTCACCTGCGCTGCTTCCGCCACCACTCGACGTCCATGTCGCACTACCCATTTCAACCGCGCCCTACCCAGTTGCACAAGAACGCTCACCTCGCTGTGACCGGGGGTGAATATTATTTTCAGGTCCGACCCCATCCACCAGGGCCCCATCCACCAGGGCCCCATCCACCAGGGCCCCATGCACCAGGGCCCCATGCACCAGGGCCCCATGCACCAGGGCCCCGAGCCATCCAATAGCATCTCCACGTCCGTCGTGTCGGGCTGCTCCTCCACGTGGGTCAGTGCCGCAGCATCTCCACGACGCACTACCCACTTCAACCGCACCCTACCCTTTTCAACCGTGCTCACCCCCCCCCCACCTCGGTGTGGCCGGGGGTGAAGATAATCTTCAAGTCCGACCCCAGGCACCAGGGCCCCGTGCCGTCCAATAGCATTTCTACGTCCGTCGTGTCGGGCTGCACCTCCAGCGCGTGGAGGACACGCTCCGCCTTGAACCGCGCCGCCCACCGCGCGTGGTCCGCCACGTCGTCGCGGTGCGTGAGCACGATGTAGCGCACGCCGCCCATGCGCGCGAGCGTCTCCGCCAAGTGCTCCGAGTAGCGCGGGCAGTCCACCATCACGTTGCCCGCCGCGCGCTGGATCAAGTAGGAGGCGGCGCCAGGGGGGGAGGGGGAAGGAGGGAGAGGGGGAATGAGGGAGAGAGGAGATGAGGAAGTGAGGAGAAACGGCCAAGGGGATGTGAGGGAACGGCAGAGAGCGGGAGTAGGAAGCGGCACCGCACTGCACCGACCTGGATGAAGTAGGAGGCGGCGCCGAACGACTTGCGCGAATGGTAGCCGCAGTGGAACACGCCGGGCAGCGCGGAGGCGTCGATGGGCAGCGGGAACGAGTCGCGCGCGCGCGGCACGAGCGATAGCGAGTCGCGCGAGTGGATAGAGGCCGTTGGGCACGACAGCAGCGCCTGCGCGGCGGAAATTTGAGGGAAAGGCGGAAGGCGGAAAGGGACGAGGGAGGATTAGGTGACGACATGGCATTGGGCATGACACGGGGTATGGCATGGGGCAATCCTAACACCAGAATTCCTTGATATATTTCCCATGCTTTTATCGTTCATAATCCATCATTCGCTGTTCATCGTTCGTCGTTCATCGTTCGCTGTTCATCGCGCGTCATTCATCGTTCGCTGTTCGTTCGTTCGTCGTGCTCGCTGAAACTCTTTCGCATACCTGCAGCGCCTTGACGGTAGTCGCCTCGTCGCCGGGTTGTGCGAACACGGCCGACTGCGACCCGACCTTGGCGAACACTTCAGGCGCCATCCAACGGCACACATCGCAGTTGATGCACGTGTGGTCCACGTAAAAGTCGCCCGCTACGTTCTCGCCACGTGGCGCCCTCGCGCCCCCTACGCGCTCCCCCACCTGCTGCGCCTGCGCCTCGGCCTTGAAACTCGGGACTCGCGGCGCTGCTGACGTGGTGGGGACTGCCAGAGCGGTTGACCAGCCGGCGCTGTCGCTCCAACCGACGGCGCCACCTCGCCGTGCCGCTAGCGGCGGTGGCACTCGCAAGCCGCCGGCGGCGCAGCAAGTCGCGAAAGCTACAGCCATTTGCGCGCCGCTTCGAGTATGTAACTGCAATCAATAGTTAGTACGACTCTCTTCTTGAGGAGCCAAGGATGTCGTCAAATTCTGGACCTAGTTAATGCAGGTGCGGTCACAATCCAAAATGTACTACCCACTAAAGGTAATGTGTGAATACGCGCTTTGCATCCGACGAGGCGGAATCTGATGCTGTGTGACCCACAATGCGTTGCGAACGACTTGTCAAAAGGCTTCTTTGGTAGTCTTCTCCCGTAGACGTAGTTATCTGATGATGCTCTAGCAAGGTTCGCGGTGTAAAGGAGCTGTACTTCCCGTTGAAGTCCTAAATTATGAATTCCGCCAGGTTTGCTTGCTCCCTCTCATACATCAACCCCACGTGACCTGGCAGTCGCCGTGAGTCGAGGTGTTTTGGTTTGGTCAGTCCCTGGTTGACCGGAATGCTTTCCTGGCACCTTGTCAGATCTGCACATACACGTCACATCTAGCCGCATTTCTGCCAAGTTGGCCAAATTCCAGCTCATAAAGGATGAGAGTGCGCTGGTTTGGGGGTAGTTGCGATCTAGAAAATATCGCCCGACCATTCGCGACGAAGTCTTTGGCTCGCGCGGCGCAGCATGACGCGCTCCCGAGGGAACGGGTTTCGTGCGTTGTCGGTGTGACAGCGAATTTTGCACGTGCGACAAGATGGATAGCTTGGCGGAGAGACGGTTCGGGAGACAGCTGTTGAGTGTTCTTGAAACCGATTATATTCCCGTTACTCGTATACGCGTATAATATACAGATAAATACAGTGCATTACAAAAACATGTATGTCAATGAGAGTCGGAGTGTTAACTCGGTTGTCAGTTGAGGCATCCGAAGTGAGAGAGCTCCAAATGGTGCAGCCTCACACATGTCAGCACAGGCTCCGGCAATTCCTGGGGCGAATTACCCTGGTGGATCAAGCAAAAAAGACATAACAACTCAAAGGCATTCAATCAACGCGGAGCAAACAAATGAGGATGGTTGAGGACAATCCTTCTCCTCACCTATTTAGTCACCTATGGAAAGTTTACAGGATGGAGTGTAAGCCGGGCTCACTGAAAGGGGAAAATTCTCTTACCATGCTGAAAAACATACATCACTGACGGCAACACACAGAAAACGAGACAAATGGTGAGGACAGAAGTCTCACCTGCAGCACGAGCGCAAGGTCGAGGATGGCGTCTGGCAGGTGTGGGCGCAGGGAGAGCAGTGCCTTCTAGTGAGCGGGGGGAAAGGCGTGCGCGTCTATATCCAGCTCCACGTATGGCTGGGTGGAGGACTGGGGGAAGAGGGAAGAGGAGTGGGGGAGAGCGGGGAGAGGGGAGTTGATATGACAAGACAGGTGGGAAGGCGTGCATGTCCATGTTCAGTTCCAGGTAGGGCTGGGTGGATGACTGGGGGAAAGGTAGAAGAACGCTGGTGATGAGGGCCGTATGTGATAAGAAGCACACAACAGTGAGCAGACCTCACCCTCTCAACACAGCAACATGCATCACCCAACCGCTCACCTGCACGACGCAGCATTACTCACCTGCAGAACTGTGTGGTAAGGGCGAGTGAGCACGGCCTTGCCAGTGCACCCCTCCACCAGCTTCTTGCCCGCCGCACTCAGCCCCACCTCCCCCTCGTTCACCAGCCTCACCATCAGCTTCGGCCGATTCCAAGCCACCTTTTCCACCCCGCCTTCCCCTTCCGCCTCTGCTCCCCCTGACCTTGACCACCGTTCCGATTTCCCCCCGTGCTCCTTCCCCCCGAGCACCTTCCCCCCATCCTCCTTCCCCCCATGCTCGTTCCCCCCGTGGCCCTGTGCTGCCATGTCCCCCCCCACGCCAGCATCATCAGCAGACGAGTAGCTGGACCAGCTACCCCTGCGCCTGCCACTGCTGCTGCGTTGCGTCTTCTTGCTGCTGCTGCCCGATTGCTCCGCATTCGGTGCTGCTGCTTCAGGCTGTGCTGCCTCCTTCCGTGCGGCTGCATCACATGCAGTCTCCGCGCCCTCTGTGACCGCTGCCCCTAGGTGCTGCCCCGAGCGTTTCATTGGATCCTCTAACCCCCCCTCCACGGGGCCTTTCCTCCCCTCGCCTTGCCTTGGACCACACGTGCGCAGCACAGGCTGGAGAGAGGCAGGCAGCACACGGGGGAATGGAGGGGGCGGCAGCAGATGCGAGATGGTGCGGGGAGAGAGAGAGTGAGTGCGGAGGCTTCAATGGTAACAGCAGGCATCCCGGGGGTACGCGGTGAGCCGTGCCAGCCAATACAGGACCAGTTTTGAGGCGCCTCAAAAGGCACCAGGTAAGTGCCATAGTTTTTGACACGTGGCTGTCACTGGGGATTCAACATGCCATACACATAATCATACATCCACGCCCATACATCCACACCATGCTGTCTGCCTCTGCTCAACCCCATGTCAACAGGAGCTTCTGCCTGGGTGCGCCAGTGCACCCCCAGGCGGCAGTACAGCACCACACTCAGGCCCAGCCCGTCCCATGCATGCGCCCATGCCCCTTGCTGCCCACCCCTACTACACTCACCCCCATGTGCATGGGAGCATCTGCCTGGCTCCGCCAGTGCACCCCCAGGCGGCAGTACAGCACCACACTCAGGCCCGGCCAATCCCACACACTTGCCCATACCCCCACAACCCCTCCCCCATAACCACATGCCCACGTACCTCCATCTGTGCAGGAGCCTCTGCCTGGGCACGCCAGTGCGCTCCCAGGCGGCAGTACAGCACCACACTCAGGCCTGGCCCGTCCCATGCCCGCTGGTGCAGCGACAGCAGTGGCGGGGGCGGCTGCAGGGGCAGCTGGAGGGCGGGCACGGGAGGCGCATGGGGAGGAGGGGGAGGCAGAGGGGGAGGCAGAGTGGACAAGAGGATGGGTACGAGGGAGGAAATAACCACAGGCTGAGGTGCTAGGCAAGTATGCTCAGCTCACTCACACGTGAACAATTTGGGCTGCTGGGATGGCGGAATGGACTCGCAGAGGCAACCCAATTCCAGCCTTGCAAGGTAATACAAAGGAATGGTCTCGTTAACCACCCACCCCACTTGCTTTCCCTACCAAACCTCCTACCCTTCGCCCCCATCTGCCCCCTCCGCTTCCTTTTCCACCCCACCCCCACTTGCCCTTTCCCCTTCATCGCTCCCAAGTCCTGACCTGGATATTGACGATCAGAACAGGCGGCAGTCCGTTGCTGCTCTCTGCTGCTGCCGGCTCGCTGCCAGGTGGCGGCACGAGAGCGGCTGGGAGGTCCACGTGGGCGGCGATGTGGCGGATCTTCCTGGACGTGTGGAAGACGTCGGCCGCCCAGGGCTCATAGAGAGGGGGTGCGGCAGGGGCGACCTTGGCTCCGTCACTGCATGGACGAGTGTGGGACAAGAACACGGTTGTTCCAGGGAGGGGGGAGAGGTGCACATGTGAAACACGGCTGCCGCCCAGGGCTCGTAGATGGGAGGTGCGGCAGGGACAAAATGGTTCAATCACTGCATGGATTTATAAGGGAACACAGCAGAGGAAGCACAGTATAGAGGGTGCAGGGGCGCAGAGGTGCAGGGGCGCAGAGCATAAGGGTTGTGGGGTGCAGTCTGCAGTGGCACAGAGGCAAAGGGGAACAAACAGACAGTACATGGGAGAGAAGGGGGGTGGACGTGTGGATGTGTGGAAGGCGCCTGCATGCTGACACTCATCCTCCTCAACGGGAGCTTGTGGAACTTCTCCTTTCCTCACCTTGGGTAGGTGGGGCCTCGCACGAGCAGCAGGGAAGGGTCAGCAGGCGACCAGCAGTTGGTGGCAGCACGGGCGGAGGGGGAGCAGCGAAACAGCTGAGAACCCGCTCGTGGCCACATCAGTAGGCGCTTCACCGCTGGTGTGGGAAGGGCGAAGGGGGGAAGGGGGGAGAGGGGTCGGAGGGGGAAAAGAGGAGGGTAGGAGTCAAGTCGGAAGAGCTGAGAGAAGGATGTGGAGGAGGGGAGGGTGGGCTCTGGAGGAGGGGAGGGTGGGCTCTGGAGGAGGGGAGGGTGGGCTCTGGAGGAGGGGAGGGTGGGAGAGGAGATGGGTTGCTGGGGTTGACTCACACTGACTCGCACTGATAAGGTTGACTCAAATTGCTGGGTTTGACTCACATTGAGTTTAATTGCTCAGGTTGACTCACACTGACCCGCACCGCTGGGCTGGGGATGGCTGACCCGCCACACTGACTCACATCGACTCACGGCAGATCGTGGTTGACTTTTGAGGCGCCTCAAAAGTCGACTCACGGCAGCTCATGGTTGACGCACATTCACTGGGGTTGAGGGCAGACGAGGTGCGGAAGAGCTTCGACAGCAGCGCGCCACCGCTGCCAGACGAACCCGATGTGCGCTCCAACAGCGACCCTCCCCCCGCACCAGGGCGATCCACACCCCCCATGCCCCCCCCACTGGCAGCAGCAGCAGCTGCAGAGGCGTCGAGGGCAGGCAGCCTCATACTGCCGCTGGAACGACCGCGGTCGGGTGTGGAGAGAGATTCAGCATCGGTGCCCGCCATGGCTGGTGGGGGGAGCGGGGAGGGGCAGGGAGGAGTGCGGGCGGGATGGCTTTTGAGTAGAATCAAAGCGCAGGGGCGAGGAGTGGAGAGGAGGCAGCCTCGTATTGCCACTGGAACGATGTGAAAATCACTAGTGAGAATCCTCTAGAGCGATTTCCATATAAAAGAGGCAGCCTGATGCTGTCGCTGGAACGACCGTGGTCTCCTGTCGAGAGACGCTCGGCATCGGTGCCCGCCATGGCTGGTGGGGGCCATAGAGATGGGCAAGGGGGAGCAAACGAGCAGAAAAACGGGAAGAACGAAGGGTGGGGCGGGGAGGAAGCGAGCGGGAGAGGGCGGTGTGGGGGGGAAGAGAAGGAGTTGGGGGGGAGCGGGGTTGTTGTAGGGTGCAGAGCAGGGCAGCGGAATGGGCAGCATACATGAGTGGAGGAGAATGGCACGGCTGTGAGCAACAAGCAACAAGCAAACAGCACAACAGCGCACCAGCAAGAGCAGCAGAGCAGCAGAGCAACAAGCAAGAGAAGGAGAAGCAGGGATAATGACCTTGCAGCAGAGCAGCAAGAGTGCCAGAGTGGGGCTGCAGTGACTTCCATTTCTTCAACGTCCCTGGCCTCCCCGCTCTGCCCTCCCCCCCACTCCTGCCCCCACCACTAGCGCCATAACCACTCATTGCACTACCACCACCACCGAAATTGCTACCCGCGAGGGAAGCAGCAGGGGACGGGGCGGAAACGTCAGCAGGGGAGGGCGAGAGGAGGGAGGAGGAGAGGAGTTGCAGGTTGGAGACTCGCTGCTTGGCCGAGCCAAAGTCGGTGCTGCGCGTGCGGTACGGCAGCGAGCGCGGAGTGGTGGGGCGGGGGAGAGGGGAGTGGGCGGCGGGGGAGGGGAAGGGGAGAGGGGAGTGGGCGGCAGGGGAGGGGGGAAGAGGGGAATGGGGGACAGGAGGGGGACGGTCTAGGGACGTCTGTGTTACATCCTGCTGCTGGGAGAAGTCAGGTGCTAGAGGGGGTGCTGAAGGTGCTGCTGCTGCTGCTGCTTCTGCTTGTGCTGCTGCTGCTGCTGCTGCTGCTGCTGCTGCTTCTGCTGCTGTTTCTGCTTGTGCTGCTGCTGCTGGTGGTGCTCCTGTTATTGGTGGTACTGCTGCTTCTGGTGGAGCTGGTGGTGGCGGTGCTGCTGGCGGTGCTGCTGATGGTGCTGCTGCTGCTGCTGCTGCTGCACGGGTGGGCGGTTGTGGGGGCTCAAACGGAGGAGCAGCGGCAGCGGCTGATGGAGGGGTGATGGGTGCTGCCGGAGTGTGAGGTGGCAGTGAAACGTCTGGTGTTGTTGCGAGGGATGGAGGTGAAGGGTCAACAGCCCTGGTTGCAAGAGCTGCTGCATTACCAGCATCGACACCACAGGTATTATCCATGACACTACGCGTGTCAGTAACATTGGTCGTGTCACTGGCATTTATTAGTGCATCAGAAGCGCCACGTGGGTCAATATGAGAGGCTGTATCAACAGCACTGGTTATGCCCATCACACTACTAGCAACAGTAGCTGGGTCAGTAGCAGCAGCGGTGCCAGCAGCAGGAATGGTGTCAGAAGCCCTAGAGTCAGCTGTGTTAGTGCTTCTTACTGTGTCACTCTGCCTTGCTGCCACTTGAACAGCAGCAGCAGTAGCAGCAGTTGCTGCGGCAGTGGTCTTTTCGCCATGTGGGCGTTGAATGGGGAACTGGGTGGGAGGCTGTGAGCGCGAGGGGGTGCGAGGGCGGGAGGGGGTGCAAGGGCGAGAGGGTGTGCGAAGGTTGGGCGAGCGAGGAGGAGGAATGGAACGAGGGGAACGGGCAGGGGGAACGGAGCGAGGGGAGCGGGAAAAGGAGCGCATGGAGCTGCTGCGAGAGAGGGACTCTGCAGGGGATGACAGAGGGGACAGGGAGGAGATGGGGTAGCAAGGACGGGTGGATGGAGCAAGAGCAGATGTGGGGGTAAGGGCACGCATGGGGAAAGGAAAGCAGCAGTGCAGGTATGAGACAAAAAGAGGGTCTTGGAGAGAACACATGGGAGCGTGAAGCGCGAGAGAGAGCAGGTCAAAGGGGTGAAAGAGGGGTGGAGCAAGTGCGAGAGGAAACAACAGGGAGAGGTAACCCGGGTGAGAGCATGGACGAGAGGGAGCACGGTGGAGCGGGAGCAAGGGGGAGAGGAAGCAAAGGGGGGAGGGAGCACGGACCTGCGACAGAGAAGAACTCGTCAGGGTCGTTGAAATCATCGCCGTTGCTGCTGCCTCCATCGCCATCGCCATCTCGGTCCCTGTCACTGCCAGTACCCGTCACACCACCAGGTAGGTGCAAAGCAGCACGCACTCCTGCCCTACTCCCATCCCCATCAAAGTCCCTGTCACTGCCAGTACCCCGCACACCAGGGAGTTGCAACGCAGCAGCACGCACTCCTGCCCTACTCCCATCCCTTGCTGCTGCCGCAGCCGCTGCTGCTACTACCCCCCCTGCTGTTCCCTCAGAGTCAGCAGCAGGGTGAGCAGCAGCAGACAGGGGGTCCAAGGCGGCCTGCAGGCAGCTGGCCACCCACTCGTCTACCTCCCTCGCCCGCGCAGGGCTCTTGTGCGCATCAATCTCACCAGTCCCGCCCATATCTCGCACCACCACTCCCCCGCGTCCCATGGGCGAGCATGAGCGTGCTCGTCCCAGGCTACTCACCCCCGTCACGCCACTCACCCCCGCCCCACCCTCTCCTCTCCGTTGGCCCCCCTCCAACGCACCCTCCTGCTCACTCTCTCGCCGCCTGCTCTCCTCAGTCCCCTCGCCTCCCTCACCTTCTCTCCACTCCCTCATACCCGCCTCCCTCCTCTCCTGCCCTCGTCCCTCCTCCCTGCATCCACTACCAGTCACTGCCACCTCTGCAAGCTCTGCGGCACCACCACAGACATGCAGAGACACTCGTTCGTCCACATGTCTCCGATCCTTCCCCTCTGCGAGCCCTGCCATGTCACCAGGGGGTCCCTGCCGTTCCTGCTGCTCCTCCTGCTGCCGCCGCTGCTGCTGCTCCTGCTGCTGCACCTGATCAGACGAGGCAATCGCGGAAGTTTCTTCGGCGTGGCCATTCCGGGAATCGGGCGCGTGCTTCTTTCCATGCTGCTGCTGCTGCTGCTGCTGCTGCTGCTGCTGCTGCTGCTGCTGCTGCTGCTGCTGCTGCTGCTGATGGTGGTGGGTGTGCTGGATAAGCCGTATAAACGAGCCGTTGCTGTTATTTGACGTCTCCTCCTCACTGCCTCCATCCTCATCGCCTCCTGCTGCTCCTGTCGCTGCTGCAACGGCTGCTCTCGCTCCTCCCCTCTCTACACCTGCACCAGCACCGCTGTCTACGCCATTCATGCCGTTCTCCCCTCTCCCGACACCTGCCGCTGCCCCAGCTGCTGCCGCTGCCCCAGCTGCTGCCGCTGCCCCAGCTGCTGCTGCTGCCTCGCCCGTTGCTGCTGTTTCCTCTCGTTGAGTGCGGCCATCGGAGTGGCTGTGGCGCCGGAACGGGGAGAGGGAATGCGAGCGGGAGTGACGATTGGAATGACTGTTTCTACGATCTGCATGGTGATACCCATGTCTCTGCGAGTGGTGCTGCGAGGGGTGGTGGTGCTGCCCTCTCTTCCCATCTTTGAACACCATCACCTTCCACGTGAAGCACCTCACTCCCATAACCGCCTCAGGGCTCCCCATTTCGCCCTCCTCCTCTTCCTCCTCTTCCTCCTCTTCCTCCTCTCCATCGTTCGCCCCTTGTGCTCGCCACACTTCCGCTTCCGCCTCGCCTCTTCCATCTTCGCCCTCCCGCGCTCGTCTTCTCCCACGCTCCGCGCTCTTGCTGCCCCGTCCTGTGCGCGCATGCCCCGCGCCAACCGCAGGTGGTTTCGCAGCTGTTTTTTCAGGTGTTTCGGCGGACCGTGCTCGCGCGGCTTTACGAGAAGGGCTCGCAGCGTTTTCCGGCGCGAGAGACGCCGAAAGACCCGGAATGGCCGGCTTCTGCTGCGAGTTTTCGGTCCACGTCCCGTCCGCGTTATCGTAGAAATTCGACTGTTTCCCGCCACTGGCATCTGACGTCGCGGGCATACTAGCGGACGGTAAGTTCGGATAACGATCAGCGTGAAGGTCACTACGCTGAAAATAAGGGCCTGACGTTTGGAAAGACTAGAGCAAAATGTGAACTTGCGATCCGCTGTAGGTGTAAAAGGTTGACACAAACAAGCGGAGGAACGTGATTAATGCTAGTAGTCAAGTCAAGCCTAAATTACATTGGTCCATGTCGCGTTCTTGATATGGACTGCGATGAAGCTGAGCAACAACTAACGAAGTGCACTACGTTTCCCGAGGTTGGCAGCCATTCCTCGTGTTAGGAAAAAGAAACTGGAACCATTTTCTTCGAGAGCATGAGGTTTGTTGCTGGTCCGCGCGTGTCGGATGGGGGTGGGAAGGAATGCTAACACTACTGTAACTGCACTCGATAAAGGTCAAGTATTGTAAGGTACTGGTACCGTTAATAACGGTAGGTGAATCTAACCTCCATCAAATTGTAAGAATTAGAAGAGGTTAAGGTTCAAACAAACTGTAGAGAGATGCTCATTTCTGGCAGAGGTTTATTCTCTCAGCATTGAGGACAGCCTTGCAGTTTAGAAAACCGCCTGAAGACGACCTGGCTCTGCACAACTGTGGAACTGAAAGCATGCCATTAAACTGCATTGGACGCTCATGGTGTTCCTTTGCTAAGCTGGGCTGTCAGAAAATGCACAAAAGCCTTCACCACAGCCTCCCCTACCTCCCCCCTCATGCCCCCATTCCCGTCTGAGCATGAGTAATGCGGATCAGTTAACGAGCATGTGGTCCTGTACTGAGGTGCAGTGACCTGCCACGTGTCAAAGAACGATAAACCCATGTGCCGAGTCAGAGGCTGGGCGATCCCATTGCCATACGCCAGCATGGCATTGGTTCGCCTAATCCATTTTCGGTTTGCCACCCAAAATGAAGGCAGGCCAAAGAAAACAGCAGGCTTTTTCGGTCGAAGAAGGTGGAGCGAGGAGAGGAAATGAGGGAGGTAGTGGGGATAGGCCACAGCGCCATCAGAGCAAAACTCGAAGGTCCAGTGCCCTGTGCCTACGACTGTGACATCTGCAGTTTGTGATGGTGCAGGATAGCTGCGTGTATGGTTGGAATATTTACCCCTGCGACTGCAACAATGTAGGGAGAGAGCGAGAATGGAAGGATAAGTTAACAAGGAGCTAAAAATTATCTGAAACGTGCAAACCAGAATAACATCCCCGATGCTCACGGCACACTTACGAGCACCCTGCCACATTGTTGTCATATATGCCATCCAGCCAGTTGTACTTCACCCGAATAACACCGCTCTGCACCTCTTTGCTACCAGTTGGAACATCCCCTGCTGCTGCTGGTGCAGTGACGTTGAGGGTGTAAGAGATGTCACCATGCTTCACCAGTGTCATATTATGCCGCGTGCCAGTGTGCATGAACCAGAGGTGCATGATTAACCCTCTCATGTGTGAGTCTCCAATCACATTCACCTCCCGTACCCCTCCCTCCTTCCACAATGCCCAAAGCATGTCGTTCAATGGAGCAGCACTAGCGCAGCTGAAGAATGTCCACCTGAACCCAAGCAATAATGATCAAGCTAAGACATTGCCCCAAGAGGTTGACCTTGTAATAAAGTATACCAGGCTTTGTAAATCCGTGTTTTCACTTACCTGTACTTTTCTGTGGTAGCAGTTGCTGTGTTTAGATCGGTCAAGCCATTTTGACTCGTGGCGTCACTGCCTGCAAGCCACCGACCAGCAATTCCATGTGCACATGGACTCGTGACCGCTGAGAGATCCATATTAGCTCCGTCGAGTTGGGGTTGCTCCAGCCAATCACGTGGCTGGCTTCCTTTAAGCACCGAAACAGGTATTTGTGCAAAAACGTGTTGTCCTAAACGGTTCCAATCTTTGGTGTAGTTCAAATTGAAGCCATCGACACGGAATTCCATGCTGCATGAATCAAAACGAAATACCATGTCAGAGTGCCATGTGCGAAGCCTACAGAGAATGACCCTCCAGTGGAAACATGGAATGCGGAAACGTTGACACACCTGTAATTACCAGCGTCCCATGGAGTATAGGAGGCAAGAAATACCGACTGTCCTGGAGAATCAGCTGTCACTGTTGTCAGATGCACATGAATCAGGGAAGGCCCTTTGAGCGTAACCATCATGTCCCATTGAAGGGAGGAAGATGCAGAAGCAGGGATCCAGCGTGCTGGTGATTGCACCGCGATGTAGAGAGAGCAAGTTTGGCCAACATGGCATTGTTTGCAGCCATCTCCATAGATCATCACGCCACCAGGACGAATGGCATTCTTTCCATGAGACAAACTTTCTTGATTGGAGTTTCCAGTTTCGTTCAATGAGATCCTCGAGCCGCCATGGATGGAGGAGCTCCAACACAATCCCGGAGGCAAGTCAATGAATCCGCGGTTGCTTGAATTTGTTGATTTAATTCCTGAATATCTGAGAGTGTGAAGCGTAAGGATTTGATAAGAATGAAGCGAAGGCGTATCAAAATACAAAATTACCTGCTGTTTGTCTGATTAGGAAATGATGTGTTTGCTCGGGTCAGTGGCGCAGCCTTCCTCAGCTCTTGGTTACTTTCTCTTGCAGCAGTGCTCCTGGACAGTAGAAATCCCGACAATGCGAGCAGTATAAACGAGACTGCGCAAAGGCTTCGCCGAACTACGGGTGTCCAATGGCATTCTGTGACGGCGAACCCTTGACATGTTTTCTTCCTGGCCGGGCTGGAACCTGTCTCATGCTCGTCGTCCGAGTCAACTACATGCGAGTAATTGGCAGCGGAAGGAAGTGCCATTGTATCGAATCCACCGATGCTATGCTGCAGACGAAACACCAAATGGCAGTAAGAAGCTACGCTGCAGTTGTGGGGTCAGACAAGCAAAGAGACGAACGGTAAAATCATCGCGTCTAACCAGCAGCGAGCTGGACACGACATTCCCAAGACCGGAGAAACTAGCCCGGAGTTTCCTGGCAGGTCGCGACTCCATGGTTCTAGCAGTGAGCGGTTGCGACGAATCCACCACCTCAGCAGCGTTTTTACGTCTCCTAATCGGCGTGATGATACCTTGGTGATCTCATGACGGTCCCCATCTCAGTGCTCAGTTCAGCTGAAACCTTGGGAATTTGGAAGCGCTATAGAACACCACAATACCAATGCTGAAGAACTAGAAACCATCATAAGAAAAGAAACTACCGTAACTACCATCAAAAGACTGAAAATAGCACCCATAATACATCTATTGGATTGATACAGGTGAGGCATCTACAGGTACTCCATTGCACTAAGCAACTCCCCATGCTCTTCGAAGTACGTAACCATCCTTTGTAGAAATGGGTTATTGTTCACTGTGTCGCAGTTGCACACAATGCAGCACTGTCGGCGGGCTCTTGTGACAGCAACATTCATTCTCCGCTCATCAGCCAAGAAGCCAACCTACTCATACAAGGGCAAGAGTAGTGGGGGGGGGGGGGGGGGGGGGGGGGGGGGGAAGTGGCGCGCAAAAATAGATCGTATAAGCATTTGCCAAAGACGGAGTGGTGTATGATGCACTGTACTGCACTACCAAAACAGAAATCAACAAATCACATACCTCTCCAGTGTCATTGGAGCGGACCATGGAGATGATAAGGGCCTCCTTCTCCCTCCCCTGAAACCCATCAACCGTGCTGATCTCCACTCTAGCCAGCTGCCGAGAATCCTCTCTGAATGACTTGAGTAGGCCCACCTGGGGTGGTGAGAGCAGGGGAGAGTGATTGTGTCATTAGGAACTGTTGCACTGCAGGAACAAAAACTGCAGTGCAACCGCGAGACACCCAAGAAGTGAACTTAGAACAAGAGTGCAAGCAACTGTTGCATCTGCGTATGACAATGCCATTCTATAACCCACCTGTGCACTGTATGGTGTGACAATCCCTATGTCCCCCGCATCCACCCCAGCCTCCAGCAACCTCTTCACATGCGCCACCACCACCCTCGCCTCCCCCTCATTTCGCAGACTCTCCCCCTCTTCCTCCCTTTGCTCCTCCACATCATCACACCCCGTCGTATCCACAAGCACCAGCCGAGCCTCCGTGACAGGCCCGGAAGCCACCCCTGGCAGGTCCGGAAGCCCGTGCCTGGCGACTGAATCATGAGCGGAGAGAAGCGATTGGTACAGCTCATCAGACGCCCAGCACATGATGTCCTGGTGCATGCGGTACTGAACGGTGAGCATGGATGTGATGCGGTCCCCGTACAGGCGGTGCAGACGCTCAAAGAGGGTGACCCCAAGGCCGCGCTTCTGAGCCTCGTCGCACTGCACGGTGGGTGGCAGCTGCAGGTGGTCGCCTGACAGGATGCAGCGCGGGGCTTTCAGCACGGCTGCCCAGCACGACACCTCCAAGGCCTGTGCTGCCTCGTCTATCACCACCAGGTCGAATGTCAGGGGCTGGAGGGATGGGGATGGCAGGGAAAGCAAGAGAGAAGCGATTCTTGATAAACAGTCCGTTTCAGCAGAAGAGCTTGAGGACTTGTGCCGCCCCACCAGTGACCGCTGGGTCAAAGGAAGGCAAAAAATGCAGGTGCTATTTCCACTGCCCGTCCCTCCTCCGTCGGCAGCCGCAACAGCACATCAACTCACCTCGGGGTGCCGTGACAAGCAGCCTGTGAGAGTGGTGAGCACAACATTGGAGTCTTTCAGCACATCCTCCACTGCCCGCTGCTGCCGCTGCCACCTCTCCTCCGTCCCCAGTCGCAACAGCACAGCAGCTCACCTCAAGGTGCCGTGACAAGCAGCCTGTGAGAGTGGTGAGCACAACGTTGGAGTCTTTCAGCACGTCCTCCACTGCTCGCTGCTGCCGCTGCCGCTCCTCCTTGCCCAGCCGCCGCAGATCCCTCTGGATCTCGCCCCTCTCCCTCCTTATCTTCGTTTTGAGCAGCTTCCCTGACAGCTGCTGCATCTCCTTGCGCACGTCCTTGGCTAGGGCGCTGTTGTCCGACTGCTGGACCTGGTGGGGGGGGGGGGGGACAGGGGGGGCAGGAGAGTGGCGAGTAAGGAAAGGGACAAAGGGAGATAGCAAAGGGGGAAGCAGAGCGGGCGGGGGGGTGGGGCAGAAAGAGGGAGAAGGGAGAAAGATAGAAAGAGAGCAATGCGAGGGTAACGGAAAGAGAGAGCTGCTGCATCTCCTTGCGCGCGTCCTTGGTCAGCTTGCTGTTGTCTGACTGCTGGACCTGGTGTGGGGTGAGAACAGGAAAGGACATGGGGTTGGGACGAGTATGAGACAAGGGAGGGAGAGAGGGAGAGAGGGAGTGCAACGCGGAAGAACAATGCAAGAATTTTCAGGGGAGTGAGGGGAAGGGAAACTATGCATCACATTGCGGAAAGATTGGGGTGAGCAGTTGCCACATACACATGCCGGGACGTATGCATGCATGTGGTGGCATGGCATACGCTTGTCATGGTGCACGCATGCATTCTGGCTGCATGTATGTGATGAGGCATGCATGCATGCATGTGGTGGCATACCAGGGCATCAAGGGAGGAGTTGAGGGTGGATGGCAGCAGTCGTGCGGGATGCCCCACTCTCACTGCCCGCACCTGCACGCGCGCCAGTAGAGGGGTGGGGGGTTGGGTTGGAGGGCAGGGCGAGGGGTCCAGCACAAGGGGGAGAGGGAAAGTACGGAAACAATATGTCTTGATGAAAGCTAGGGAGTTTGCGAGAGAAGGCCAGCGGACTTGTGACTCGATACAGTGTGACATTGGAGATATTGTCCCAGTAGGAAGGGAATAGCATGCAGGTCTAGCTGTTACTTCATGTCACGAGCACCTGCTTGTGCGGCACGAGCCGCTCCACGAGGTTATCAACAGCGATGTTGGACGCCGCACACACCAGCACCTTGCTGCCCCGCTTCACCTCCTGCACCACCACCTGCAGGGCGGAGGGAAGGATGTGGGGTGGGAGGGGAGGAGTGATCACGATTCGTTCATGGTGATGGGCACAGCAGCAGGGATAGAAGTGGAGATGAGTGGAAGGTGATAGCTCCAGTACGTCGGGTACTGCCTCCCCAGCCACTGAAAGGTAGCTGCAGCTGCAGTTTCCAAGCTAAAGCTGCAGCTGCGCATCGGCGCAAGGGCGCAAGGGCGCAAGGGCGCAAGGGCGCAAGAGCCCAAGGGCGCAAGAGCGCAAGGGCGTGGCGCGTGAATGAGTGCCATGTGGTGGGTGGGAGGACAGGCTGCATGGGATGCATGCGGCCGTCTCACATGCAAACTCCTCGCTGCACCCTCTCACCTCCACCACAGTGGTCGTTTTGCCTGTGCCCGGCGGCCCGTGGATGAGTGCCACATGGTGCGCAGAGAGGCTCTTGGCAACAGCTGTCTTCTGTGACTCGTCCAGAGCGCGGTTGATCGGCGTGAAGGGTGGCGGGGCCTTGGCAAGGCGAGGCTCTGACTGGCCGAAAAGAACCTGATGGGGGGCGAGGGGGAGGGGAGGGAGGCGGGAGAGGAGGAGGGGGAGGATGGACCGCGGCCCCAGGCCTGCCCAACGTGGACCCCTAGAGCATCTCACATGCGCTTGTACGTGACATCATTCGCATGGCTAACCGGGATAAGCGTTGCCCCGGGCCTCTCAACAGTGGTCACTCCCACATCCCGTGTCCTACTAAGCGCCCCTAACGTGTCCCGCATGCGCGTGAACGTGACATCACTGGCCAGATTCTCAATCCTCACAGGGGCGTCCATCCAGGCCATCCCCATCACGCATCCCACATCTCCCACCCGACTCAGCACCCACATCGCCCCGAGTCACATCATTCGCACATGCTTACCGGGATAAGTGCTGCCCCTGGCCTGCCGATTGTCCCCACGCCCACATCCCCTGTCCTGCTGAGCGCCCCCAGGGTATCCCGCATGCGCTTGTACGTGACATCATTCGCAAGCTTCTCAATCCTCACAGGAGCGTCCAGTCCGTCCCCATCGGGCACGTCATCCACAGCGACCACCACCGCATCCTCCCTCACTCGGTACACCACGCCCTGTGCTATCGCCGCCTGCGCGCCCTCCGCCTTGTTCGCCCGTATCGCCACCACGTCGTGCGGAGTGAACTTGTGTGGCGGCAGCACCGGACCAGACGCTCGCGAGCCCGAACCTGCAGGTCCGGCGTCTGCTGTGGCGCCTTTGCTGGAGGCTTTTCCGGTTTTGTTGGAGACGAGGGTGAGGAGGGTCTTGCCCATGAGGCCTGATGTGGCCTCGCTGCAGCGCAGGTGGCACAGCACTCGCCCCTTGGCCTGCGCTGATGCCAGAGAGCGTGTTGATGCTGCCTCTTCTGCTAGTGCCACTTCGGCGTCCTGTGGGCGCATGGTGGGATGGGAGGGTGTGTGAGGGAGGGGAGGATGGACTAGGTATATCACAGGTGGCACAACACGAGGACACAGAGCAGCAGTCGGGTGGGCACACAACACAACACAACACAACACAACACAACACGGAGCAAAACAACACAACACAACACAACACAACACAACACGGAGCAAAACAACACAACACAACACAACACAACACGGAGCAAAACAACACAACACAACACAACACAACACGGAGCAAAAACACAACACAACACAACACAACACAACACAACACAACACAACACAACACAACACAACACAACACAACACGGAGCAAAACAACACAACACAACACAACACAACACAACACAACACAACACAACACAACACAACACAACACAACACAACACAACACGGAGCAAAACAACACAACACAAGAGCATTTGCCGCGCGGCCCAGGATGGCCGAGCTCCAGGTCCGACAAACTCGTGCACGATGCTGCAGCTGCACTCCCTTTTGAGGCGCCTCAGCAGCCGGGTGCAGCGTGTGGGGGAAAGGCGCGCCGCACCTTTTCAAGGTCCAGCAGACGGCGCATCCGCTTGACAAACTCATGCACGTTGCTGCAGTCACTCACATCTTTGAGATGTCTCAGCTCAGAGCAAACTTATTGGGTAGCAACTCACCTTCTCAAGGTCCAGCAAGGGCCGCATCCGCTTGACAAACTCGTACACGTCGCTGCAGTCACTCACATCTGCCGCCACGCTCCCACGCGCCCTCCCCACCCCCGCCGTCCCATACCCCATGCCTGCACCCCCCTTCCCCCCTCCGGCTCCTGCTCCCCCTTTTCCACCTCCTCTTCCCCCCATCCCCTTGCCCTCAGTGCTGCTTCCGCCCCTGTCGTCCCCTCCAAGCGCGTCAGCAGGCACGTGCCACCCCAGATGCTGCTTCAGAGCATCTCCCAGCTGGCGCGCTCCCATTGGCTGCTGCTGCTCCTGATGCCGCCCATCACCCGCTCCCACATGCAGCGTCCTGCCTTCCCCCTCAGACTCCCCACCTTCCCGCCACAGCACCAGCTGCCGATGCGAGCCACCCGGCATGTCCCGGCTCTCGTGGCGCCACCCATGCGTGTCCGCAAGATCTGATTGGATGGGAACCGAGAGGGTGAAGCGCGCAGCAGCATGTGAGTGAGTGAGATGAGATGGACACTGGAAATGGGTGAGTAGAGGCAGGGAGCATATGAGCGGCAGACAGGGAGGATCAGAGGCAGCCAGCATTGCAGCTCCCTGTCTGCCACTCGTATGGGAGGCAGCTCGGCATGCAGCCCGCCCTCACACCATCATGCTGCCTCCCTCACTCACACCGGTGGTACCACCATCCCTCCCAGCAGCATCCCTTCCCCCCTGCAGCACCCTTCACCGCCTCTCAACATGTCCCTCCGTGCGCCTCCCACCGTGCATCTCTCACCGTGCAATGCGGCGCGTTGCTTGGGCGTGAGGGAGGGCGGAAAGACAACTCGTGTCACTGGCAGCTGGCAGGACACGTGGCATGGCAACAGGGGAAGGGAGAAGAAGGGGGGAGAATGCACCGGGGAAACAATGAAGGCCAGAAAGGCAGTTATAAATACAAATGAGATTAAAAAAAATAATAAGAACCTGGAAACGAAAGGAAAAGAGAGGCGTCATGTCCTGTCCTGTACCATATCCTAACGCGTACATGTCTGTGGAGCATGCATCGATCCTCAGGCATCACTCAAGCGTCACATTTCCGTTGGGAAAACTTCCGCCCTGAACCCTCTATTCAAATCCCGCCTGAAAGCATTATCCCTAGTGACGACACAGACTCCTTGGAGCTAGTACATGCTTACTCCATTCGTCGCTCCTGCTTCCGCGGATGCTGCGGTGCCATTCTCTCCACGACCTGCGCTTCCCTTGTCACCCGCGGAAGCTGCTACCTCCGCGGGTGCACTGGCGGAAGCGGCGGGAGGGTCTGCGGGTTTGGCGGAAGTGTCCGCGGGAGGCGCGGAGACCTTCTGCGCGCTGCGGTTGAGCTGCGCGGCTTTTTTGGCCGCGGCCTTGCGCTTAGCCGCATCCGACACCATTCCGGGGGAAAGAAGGCCGAAGGAAGGCGGAAGAAAGGCCGAAGGAAGGCGGAAGAAAGGCCGAAGGAAGGCGGAAGAAAGGCCGAAGGAAGGCGGAAGAAAGGCGGAAAAAGGCGCGGAGACGCAAATGGGAGACGTGGATGATCTAAACGTCGCTGCGCCGAGACACCTCTTTCTCTACGGCTTGCTTGCTATCCGTCCACGGAAACTTGCGCGCCGTTGCCTGATGCTGGCAAACTGATACTGATTGATGACATGCGGCATATTCGCGATATTGTGAGGAAATCCAAGGCTTAGCCTGCCATTTGCTCTACTGGTGCAGACAGGAGAAGCTCGGAAACCGAGAGAGTGAACAACTTCAAGGCAGCTGCCCCAATCAGCTCCGAGTGCTTCAGTTGCTCCAGTCCCCAAATTCGCCTAAGCTGCTTCAGTTCATGTAAAATTGTGGTGTGTGTCAAACCTGTTTCGAGGTACATCCGTGAAATCAGTTTCTACCGCGTTCAATTCGTGGGGGTTTGCGGTTCACGGACAGGTTGCGGTGTGTCAGAACTGATTGTCAGATGTTCGAAA